AACTTTTACAAAACTATTTTTAGCCTTTCAAAAAACGAGATTTCCATTTGATAGAATACTATTTTTTCAACGTATATTGCTCTACAAGAGCGTAAGTTATATGTTAAGAGTCCTCGGGATTTCGGTTATCCTCTCCTTCACGACTTACTTCTAATAATTTATTTTACAAAACTAGGACTTGAAGTTGTTTTCGAATGGCTATTCTTACGCAAAACATGTAAAACAAAACACCAACAAATGATTTACATAAAAAAGTTCTTCTTAGTGTTTTACGGAGCATATTTCGGTCGTACTTTTTCTCTTACATGTGTTGCTTGTTCAAATGCATGAGCTAATTGTAATAAAATTCCTTCATTCCATGCTCTTGCTATGAATGCAATGCCAAATGGTTGTAGTCCTTCTGTTTTATTTAAATACCCAAGCGGTACTGTTATTGTTGGTTGTCCACTAATAGCCGATGGGGATGGAAACAGGGGTGGCACTTTACTAGTTACTCGGCGTTACTTTGCCAGGTAAAGTAACGAAGTTAGTTACTTCGTTTCTAGTAACGAGTAACTAATTTCGTCACTTCGTTACTTTCGTTACTCCTTCGGAAAGTAACGTAAACCTGTTACTTTGCTTGTAACGAAGTAACGAACTTAGTTACTTGTTACTGGTAACGAAATAACTAGATTAGTTACTTAAATTCTTTATTCAAATGGTGGTTATTAAAGCCAATAAGATCAGTTAATGTTCGAGAAATTTTGGCCTTCTTTGGGATGAATTCGCTTAGATAATGTTGAATATCTTATTATATAGTCAGCGTCCTCGGGATTTCGGTAATCCCCTCCATTATGACTTAAACTTACAATAATTTATTTTGTACCGATCGAGTACGTTATGATAGTAGGAGTTAAAAATACTCTTAATAATTATTGACGGTTAATCCATCAGGACAATGAACAGTATTTAGCTTTTTTGTTTTTTTGATAGCCCATTATCGAGATGGAAACATCAAATCAATGATATTATCCCAATTCTTTCCATAAAAACCAAACAGCAGAAAACTTGTTTTCGGACAACAAGTAATTTGTTTTCTTTTGTTAAACAAGTAATTATGATTCTGTTAAGATTGCTTGTTTAGGGTCACTTCACCATTTGTACTATATCTGTTTTCTGCATCAAATTTCGATTTTCTTAATTGAAAGATTAAAAACTAAATATAAGAAAAATTTGTTTTATTCATCAACTCACAGTTTTGTTAAACCGGTGTGTTTCAGACGTATATAATATATCGTCGAGCATCATGTGTGATGATATTGATTTTCAATCTATAGCAAGTGATGAAAACCTGATATCTCTGTCTTGTTTTCTTCCTGCTTAAAACAGAAAATGCAACTTATTGTGCAAAAGCCGATGAAACAACGACAGACTCAAATAATTGTATCACCAGGTCGTATACAGAGGTACATTTGAGAGAATCGTATAATTCTTACCTTCAATCTGCAAATCTAAACAACGAAGTAGACGGTTCACCTTTACTCCAACCTCGTGAGATTGCTTTTACTTTTAATCGAAATTGTGAGCACTCATGAAAATGAAATCATTTTTATTATTATTATTATTATCGACACTCTTGAATGTCAGTGCGAATCAACCTCCTTGTGGTACTTGGTTAAATAATTCAACTCTTATTGTATTAGAATCTGGGACATTCTCTTTATCAACACAACTATTGAATCCAAGGTATGTTAGTTCAATTCAATTTGGAGGATTGAAACTTCGTATTACCAACATTGGCTCGATAGAAATAATCGAAATTTCAAATAATCGTCAAGTATGGAGTTGGGGTCGAACAAATATTAACTGTACAAATAGTTGTAAGGCAACATTTCAAAGTGATGGTAATTTTGTTTTATATTATCCAGATAATCAAGGTGTTATTAGTACAAAGACATACAACGGAGCTGCATCCTATATTTATTTAACAACTCAACCACCATATTTTCAGTTATTTAATTATACTTGCGAAGTTGTTTGGCCCGGCTCTCGTGGTCAACCCACATTTGGCCCAATAGCTCGTTCCACTCAAGATCCAAGTCAAAATCCAGTAGTTTTACCATTTTATCACACAACGATACCCGCTGCTAGATTTAAAGAATATTTTGGAGTTTGCACGCATTTATCACACGGTTGGTCGGCGAGTTTAGTAACAAGTTTAGCCCCATTTGTTGGTACTAGCACAATTCGAGATGGAATACCAAATGCAAATCAATATGCAGCATACAAAGCGGCTGTAGATGCCGGACTAAAAATTAATTTTCTTTTTGGGGGGCCTTCTAATATATCAGGTTTACAAGATCAAATTAATCGAATATTAACATTGGTCAATAATTATGATGTACCAATTTCATCTATAAATAATTTTGAAGGTTTTAATGAATTGAATAATTTTGGTTTTACATACAATGGCATTAATCCAGCAACTAGTTATACTGGCATGGCTGAAGCCATGAAGGACTTATATCTTCTAATAAAATCAACACCTCAGTTTAATGGTATTCGTGTTTATGATTTAACAGCCGCTTCATTTGGTCCAGATGCTGCCGATGCTGGTTTACTAAATTACAGTGGACGTGCTGATTACGCCAATATTCATGCGTATCCTTATAAAGGTGCACCTGGTTATTATGCATCTAGAAATATCTTTTATGAAGGAATGAATGGAGAATATCCAACATTTACTGTAAACACACCACGCGTTATCACCGAAACAGGTTATTATACATTATTAGATGGGAAGCATGGTGTTAGTGAAATAGCACAAAGTAAAATGCAAATTAATTTACTGCTGAATGGTCTATTATTAGGTTTTGAACAGATGTATTTATATGAATTGTATGATGAATCATGGAATGCTCCAAATAATCCGGAGGAACACTTTGGTTTATTTCGTCACGATCGGACACCTAAACCAATAGCTTATGCATTGCATTGGCTAAGTTTGATCCTAAATGATACCGTTCCATCGACATCATCGCAAGCTACTTCACATACATTGATCTATGCTCTATCGGGTTTACCAATCACTGCTCAACACCAATTATTCTATCGATATATGGATTCAACCTACATTATTGTTGTATGGAATAATATTCCTGTATGGGATAATTCAGCTCAAAAAGAGTTAACACCACCTCAACCAGTTCAAGTTACATTAGATTTAGATCATGTCTGTTTTAGAAGTATCACAGTCTATGATATTTATGCAACAACCGATCCAATTACTACACCACTACACCAGGTTAATACGGCTAGTTCTCTACAATTTAGCTTTAGTGATACTGCAATTGTTATTGCGGTAGAATATTAGGTTTGTTGAAAATCTATTTATAATTGGTGTCTGTATGCAATGGTTTACTTGTGCTATGTGAATTTTCTTCCGGGTAATGTTTAAGCATGCGATGAATCTATCTTTTTCATATATACCTATATTTCCCAAGTATATGTGTCTATGTCGTATTTTTAAATCTCAGTAAGGATCTTTTGCAAGTTACGGGTGGAAGTCTGTGTACATGGAACTTTGTCCAATGTTTATTAAAATATTATGAAGAGAAATTTGTATAGGCATCAGCACAATATTAACACAATTACAAGGAAGTCGGCATCAGTATGCGTACGATGTTTGTCGTTTTCCGATTCGAACTTGTAGAGTAAAACGCAATGGGAGGGGTATTGAAAGATCCTTTTTTTATCGGTTACCCTAAATAGATGATATTGAACACCATGCTTCCCATCTAATAATGTATAATAACCTGTTTCGGTGATAACGCGTGGTGTGCTTACAGTAAATGTTGAATATTTTTCATTCGTTCTTTCATAAAAGATATTTTTTGATGCTCGCACGAGACAAAGAACGAAACACATACTTTCAACGACATTTTTCTTCACAAGAATAACATATTCTTAATCGTTGAACAAAACTAAGATAGATGAATTATTGAGAACTCTTTTACACCAAAAGAAAAGAAGGTATTCTAAAAACTAGAAAAGACCTGGCCACACAACATCGGCTGAAGCGTCCAGCATATGTTGTTCTTGCTTTGTGGCTTACGAATCAGTGGAACGATCTTTTCACATTTAAGTTCTCTGACAAGAGAAAAGAGTTATTTAATGTTCTGAGATCAATAACGGTTGTTACACATTTTCTATTTCCATAAAGAAATTAATCTGGCCTTCTGAAGTTACAGATAAATCGTGTCTCGGAGACTGTCGATTCATACTTCGAAACCTCAGACTTCCTTACGGATCTCAGGACGCAACTAACATACATATTTCCCCTCAATACATCCGATAAGACAAGGAACAAGAAAGAAGAAACTATCGCAAATTCTATTAAACTTTCATTCTCTAGTGAAACTTCTTGTAATCAAGATCTTGACTTCTTGAATTTTTTCAGTAAGATCCTGATTCAAAATCTTGGTAAGAAAATGTAAGAATTCAAGTAACTTCAAGGTCTTGAACATCTTGTAGTTTCTTGACTTCTTGTAATAAGATCTTGGAAATTCTTGAATCATTGTTTTGTTTATACTCTTGTATAAATATAAGTGCGAATATTTTCACATTTAGAATAACTTGGAATTTTTTGCTTCTTGACCATAGTTGTTTAGGGAAGAACCTAAGACCCTAGATGGACATATCTGCGACGGCTACGACTGTCATAAATAAACAAAATGTAAAGAAAATTTTTCACTCAAACTTTTGCAACATCCTGAGTGGATTCATTCAAGATCTTGGCCACGATCTTGGATATAAGAAGTTCCACTAGAGTTATCTCTCCATCTCATCAGTGTACTTAAAACTTTCTCACTTAATTCTTCGAAATATTCACACGCACCGTCTGGCCATTCGTTAGCTGATACTGACATATTATAATCTGCTTCTGCTATGGTTAAAACAATTTGGATTCGATATTGCTTTTTAACTGCGAGAAACACAAGAAAATATTTTGATGTACCTCATGTACTACGTTCAGAATTTTTCTTTCGCAGGCCACTTGATAGTACTGCTTATTAAAACATTTGATAGAAATATCAGGGTGTATCTAGACCTGTCGGCCGCCGGCGCCGAGCTTTTTTGGAGTTCCTCGCCGCCGCCACTAGTGAATTTTTTTTGATTTTCGGCGCCGCCACTGAAGTTTTTTGGAGGTCCTCACCGTACAAACTTGTATAGCCTCATTATTTTGATTGAAAGATATTTAGCAAAAACTGCAGGCCTCTAACTCATTCGAGAGCCGAGAAATGTTCAGTTGTCTATCAGCGTACTAGACACTTTTATTTGTGATTATTTCTTGAAAGTGAACTAAACGAAAGTATCTTCTTCTCTGACCAAGTTCTTGCAGGCGTGACAAGAATCTTTGGTGAATCGATTCCTCTGTGAACACCTGTCCTTCTGCAAGAAAAGACATAATTTAGTTTTGTTTTACAAGACAACGTCACTGTGTCTTGAAATGTTAAAAAGATGAGCCATGTATAAAAAAAATCGAATATAATTGCTTTGACAATAGAATACTTGCTCGCTATCCTATTTTCCCAATGAAACATTTGATACAATTCATTATACAGTCTCATAACTTTCGTTATTATATACCAGACAGAGTGCGTTCAAGTTTCATTAATACGAATTCTTCGCCGCGGAATTGCCGAGCAACATAGGCACATCACCAGATTCAGATAATCCGAGATACTGGATGCCAGAGAGAGATGTTAGCAGCATAATTCCATAGGAGACAAACGTGCCGTCACGGTAAGTACAACGAATGCCGCCTGCAGCTGATGAAAAGAAAAGAACTGATGTGAAAACCCTAGCAAGCGGAAATTTTCTTTTCAGTGATTTAGACATATAATGAGTGTCTACTATAATCTTGCGTAACTTTATTTTGTCAGTTATCTCTCGAAAATATGATTTTTCTCACATATTATATACCAGACTGTACCCATTTCTCAACTCTTCCATTTCATATGAAAATGTGAATCGTTTGTTCTTTATTAACTGGCAAAGAAATTTCCAAGATAAGTGGACAACGCTTTGGATACAATAAACGCGTCTTGGAAAAATTGACAATCACATCTATTTGTTAATTTTAACGATCGATGAATTCGTATGTGTGCTTAGATTTTCGAAAATCACTTTTTATTTTTTATACACTCATTTTCAAGTTTACAGCGGAGAGTACATAGTATCAATTGAACTCTAACACTCAGTTGGGGAAGGTCTACGCTCTAAGTTAAAAAATGTTCAGCGAATGACAATCTGAGATCAGTTACTCAACTATAACGGCAGAATCCACTTAACTAACGACATCTTTAGCTCATTTTCTGAGTATACTTTATGTCAAATCTTTTTGCAAAATCAACACGGAAGAACGATAAGAAAATCAGTGCAGTTCTTGTTCAAATTTTATTGCCATACTTGATACTTCAAATGAATCATTAAATTTCAGTTACTAATTTTCGTTGTTTTGAATATTATTACGATGCACACAAGCTTTTTGTAGGAAATAATCGATCAATTTCATAGCCTTTATTGTGTAGTTGATCCCCACTACCATTTATCCTGAAAAATTGAAATTCTCTAATATTTCCATCGAAGCAAATAGTTCCACGAATCATTGATAGTGTCTCTTTATTGAACGAATTAGAACAACATTCAGTTGTTGTATAATTACCTTTCATATTACTTTTCTCTTGAATTAAATCAAATATTTGATTAACGGTGAATAATGGTGAATTTAAGAGTGTTTGCTCTAATTTTATCAAAACTGCGTCTAAATACTTATTCAATTCAACAATTTCTTCTTTATCTTCACTAATAAGTGTTAAATAAATAATCCACATATTGTTATTAATTTCATTCTTCTGAATAGAATCTAATTTGAATATAGTACCAGGTGTAAATAATACTTCATTCTCACCAAATACAAAATTAAATTTATTAATTTTTGCAAATGACTTACATTTTTTTACACTAAGATCAACATCAATTTCAAATAGAATTGATTCATATAATGGATGTTGAGATCCTTCACCAGAATATATTTCAGCAAGTTTTTTCCATGTAGTTGCCGAAAAATATTGAGTTACTGTAATAAATTTATCAATATTATGTTTAAGTTCAGTTAATTCATTTTTATCAAGTAATTGTCCACGATAAACGACAATCTTATTTTCATTTACAATCAATGACTGAAGACGTTCCGTATGAAAATGATGTAATTGATCATAAATACTTAATATAACAAAACTAAAGTTAAGAATGTATTCAATATTATTTGTTCTAAGAGCTTTATTCAATAATCTATAGAGAAACGTATCTTTTGTATACCACATTAAAGCATCGTCATCTTTATAATTTCTATCAAAATCATCAATTTGCAATAATTGAATATTGTTATTTTTACATAAGTTTCGACATTGATATAAAAGTTTTGTTTTTGTATTTTTCATATACGGTGATAAACGGCGTAACATTTCAATTAATTGAAATACAAGAATATTGATTACATTATCCTCATCATTACTGTTATTATTTAAAGATAATTTTATTAACCAATATCTTAATTTATGTTCAGAATTCTGTGAAATGGTACTCACTTCTTCAACAGAATCAATGTTAAATACCGTCCCAATTACGAATAATACTTCGGTTCCAATGTACGAATTAGTTAAGTCAGATATGCAAATAAATGGTTTATATCCATGAGAAGATAAATCTACCCTCACTTTATACAATATCGGTATTTGATCTGAAGGTATCCAACGATATTTCGTTGTCATAAAATGAATGGCTGTGTTAGCATCAATTGTTGTAGAAAAAAATGTGGAAACCGATAAAGATTTACCAATACTATTGGTAAACATTTTCAGATCATTGACAAGCATTATTTGTCCACGATATACTGTCATTTGCGTTTGTGATGATGATAATGTGTGAATAAAGTTCGCATGAGCCGCATCAATTTGATTATAGAGATCAACAATATAAAAGGCAAATTGTAATATATCATCAATATTATCTGTACGAAGAACATCATTTAAACAATAATACATAAATGTGTCAGTTATATACCATTGAACTGCATCATTGCAAAAATATTGATCGATAAATTCATGCGTTCGATTTAAATTTTTCCATTTATTTTTCTTATTTATTTCCAACCATTTTATTAAATTCATTTGTTCAATTTTTGTATCTGCTACGGGAATATTTCGTGTTATATTTATTAAAATTTGTAAACATTTAAATTTGATTTGTTTTAAATAAATTGGACGAGTTGATCTTCCTTCATCAAGTGCACTTTCACATGACATATTTTTCTAAAGTAGCTCTCCATTATTATTCTTACATGCATGTGCAATGGTCTTTTCTCTTTTATGGATAAACTAACTATTATTATTTTATCCTTTACTCAATCGTACAAAAAGGAAGAAAAACACTTCAGAAATTATGCAGAGTCCAGAGTAACTTAGAACAGAAACAGATATAGAAATAAATGTATAAAACCAATATCGATGCTATTCTTTCGTCATCATGTACATTTAAACGGAAATAAAAACTTTTATTTCAACAATCGTTTCTTGCTGCAACAACACTAAAAAAGACATCCTTTAGGGGCAAGAAAATTCATCTTCAGGCAATTAGGATTCACCATGTTTTACCCGGTTTTCTCTTCGGGAACACAATGCAATTGATTTCAGGTTCAACTAGAGATTTAACTCAAAATAAGTAGATACACAGCAGTTTTATTTATATCTCTTAACTCCCTCTTTCAATTGCTGTATCTCTTACTCTGAAATTACCCTTCAACTT